TGGGGTGCCCAGTAGCTCAGGCACCCCTATAGTCACCAGAATGGAGGTACACAGATAGCAAGGGACCAATGAACAGATACCAAAAGAAAAGAATGTCCACACTTTTATCTCTGCGGTTCTGCCAGGCGTCTGTGGCTGCTCCGATCCTTCACCCGCGTGGTCTCACCCAAGATGGCAGCTCCTGGAGCAGCTGAGCATTCTGAACTAGAAAGCAATAGATTTCTTGCTTCTGCCACAAATTCCCCCAGCTGTGAGCCTTCCAACCTTCTGAATATTCCTTTATATGTGGTTCAGAGTTCTGGGACCATCCCCTGAGCCTGCTTGGTCGGGTATTCTGTTTTGTTGTTGGCAGAGCTCCTTTACTGCACTTCCACCCGATCCGCCATCTTGTTTGTTCTCCAATGAGTTCCATTCTTGAGAAGAGCACTGCTGTTTTCCACTCAGCCAGTCAATAAATTTGGTTGCTGTGCAACACACAGACAGCCCTTATTTTCTAAGAAGATTTAGTTTCTTACAGGGTTTCAACATGTAGTTTTTCCTTTTCTGGGTAGTGTTTTAAATTTGAGTCCATTCTGGTGTCACTCGTCAGCCATGACTGAACTAGGCTGAACCTGTTCACATCTCTGGTTTGAAGACACTGATAGAAACATGACAAATGAGGCTATGGGATTGGGGAGGAAGTGGAATTGACTAGAAAGACTGTGAGGAATCAGAGTTGTAAGAGGAAGTTGGGGAAATCCTTGTAATTTCTTACAGTGGTTAATGGTGCACAGTGACAATTACTGTGCAGGCTTATATTTTAACATCAAAAAAAGTAGGTTTTAAATTTTACAATCTTTGACTAATTTCAACTGCATCTGAAATGATTTGTAGTTAAATTGTGATAAGGAGTTTGCCAAAGTTCTGAAATGTTTCCTACAATCTGCGACTGTTCTGGATCTTGGCCTATCATTAGTTGAATTTTTGTTTGACCTGGATATTTTTTGTTTTGTTTTTCATTTTAGTTTATTTTACTTTGTTCTTCATGAAATTGCCTGTGTTGGCCTTCACTTTAATGATTGAAAACTTATTATATTGCTCAAAGAAATCATACTTCAATAAAAACCATACTTTAACCATAAGAACTTAACACCCTTCTTATGTTCTTTGTTTATATAAGGAAATGCAACTTCACCACAAGTACAAAGACCATCTTTCATGGACTACTTTGATAAACAGGACTTCAAAAACAAGAGTCATGAAAACTGTAATCAGAACATGCATGAATCATTCCCTGTATCCAAAAATGTTTTCCCTGATAACTGGAAAGTTCCTCAAGATGGAGACTATGACTTTGTAAGTACATTTAAATTCTATTTATGTTCAATCCCAGTTTACTGTGCTATCACACTGAGAAGCTTAGTTCATATGTGTTAGTATAAAATTATAGACTGCATGTAAATATTCATTACATAGCCATGTATTTTGGTAGGCAAATAATGAGAATTATAATTTTCTAATAGAAATGTACTTGCAGAAAAATGTAAACAGTGTCTTCTACGGTTAAGTAAATTATAGCCCAAATTTAGAGAAATTGGACTCTTTAAAACTAAATTGACTATTTTCAAAAAATGTTTTTTAATAATGCAAACATGAGATACTTTTGACAGTACGTTCAGTTATCAAAATAAATAAGAAAGTATATATAACATAGACTTTCAGAAATTTGCCTCAACTTTGAAAGCTCACTAGATTTATTTCTATTTTAAGTGTTAATGCCACTTGGTTTACCAGAAGTAATAGTTTGTTTTATATCTACTTAGCATATAAGCTACAGTATAAAACTGTGTTTAATAGCCTAGTTCATTGCATTGTTCACTTTTTCCTTCTTTCCTGTTCTGTATTATAATTTATTTCTTTTAAAGAATGTGTAGACTACAGATGAGCTGTTCTGTTGAAACAAACTAGGAACTTCTATTTCCAGAAGTTGAAAGAATAAAGTCTCAAAATTTTTAATTGAATGAAAATTTCTATAAATTTTGGCTTTAGCATGTTTTTATTAATAATATGTTACCTTTACTTATTGTCTTTTGTCACATGAAAGAACTATGACCCTTTATATCTAAATTTATTGATAAATACATTTATTTATCAGTATATAAAATTTTAGGTGCATATGTGGTTTTACAATTTCTAAATAATTTTAAACCATTTTAATATGACAACATGCTTCTAAATGTTTTCAGATTATAAATTTTAAGTAGAATTAAGTACTTCTGAATATTGAGATTATTTGAGTTGTTACATAAGGTGATGATTTTAAGTTTCAAAATATGTCCTCAATAGATTCAGTACAATTTGCTAGCAAATATTAGCAATGTAATAAAAAGGTTAGCCTGAAAACATATGTTATATCTTAATATGGTTTTTTCAATTTTGAAGGTTTTTTTTGTTGTTTGCCTTGGAGTTGGTGCTGACTTATAGGGACCCTGTACACAACCGAATGAAACATTGCTCGGTTCTGGGCCAATCTCACAATTGTTGTTAGGCTTGAGCCCATTGCTGCAGTCATTGTTTTCAGTCCATTTCTTTGGAGCGTCTTCTTCTTCACTGACCCTCCACTTTACCAATCATGATAACCTTCAGTGGGGAATGGTCCCTTCTGATAACATGCCCCAAGTAACAGAGAATTACCATTCTGGCTTGTAAGGAACATGTGGCTATACTTCTTCCAACTCAGATTTGCTTGTTCTTCTGGTAGTCCATGGTATCTTAAATATTCTTCCCCAACACCATAATTCAAATGTGTTGATTATTCTATGGCCTTCTTATTCATTGTCCAACTTGTGCTTGCATATGAGGCAATTGAAAATACCAATATTTGGGTCAAGCGTACCTTAATCCTCAAACTGACAACTTTGCTCTTGAACACTTTAAAAGGGTCTTTTGCAGCAGATTTGCCTAATATAATATGTCATTTGATTTCTAGACCACTGCTTTCATGAGTGTTGATTATATATGTATAGAACTAGTAAGTATTCATTTTGAGCTACTTTAAACCATTTTTAAATAATTTAGATTGCTGACATTCAAGCTTTAAATCATTCATGAACATGATAAATAATGTAAAATATTTAGAATCAAAGAACTCTGTCTTCCCTGAGTTGGAATAAATCTTAATAGCCTCTAGGAAACAGTCTGAAATTAGCTATAAAGTAATGAATAACTTATAATGGTTAAGAAATAGCAAATAAAATGGTTTAATTTTGTTCCAGTTAGTTGTTGCTGCTACCCCAAAACTTAGTGCCTTAAAATAACAATAAATTGATTTCCTCACAGTTTTGTAGATCAGTTCACATGGGTGGTTCTTCTGCTGGTCTTACTGGGGTCTCTTAGGTAAACAGTCATCTGTTGGGTTAGCAGAAACTGAATATCACCCTAAGATGGCTTTAGTCTTATGTCTAGAAATTGGCCTGGCTGTTAGCAGGATCACATAGTCCCATCAGGCAGGCTGGAACTTTTTATGTGGTGAAAAGCAGTCTTCCCAAAATCTAGGCTTAGACTTTGCACAGTCACTCCTGCCAGCAAGTCACAGTGCAGTCCAGATTCAAGGATTGTGGAAATGGGTTTCACCTCATAATGGAAGAAGCACCAAAGTTTACTGCCAAAGCTCTGTGTTCAGGGATGGGAGGAATTACAGTGATTACCTTAGAAAATAATCTACTAGATAGCGTGCTCATTAAAATTCAACAGAAATTAGCGTACTGAGTTCAGGATGTTGGTGGTCAATGATAGGACTGTTTCAGTGTGCTGGTAATTTTCATACACACATAACCTTTGACATGTAGCCTTCTACTACCCCTTTTAGGCCCATTCCTGTTTGTGAATCAGAGCATTGATATTTTCAGTGGCAGCTCTAATATGTAAATTTTTGTAATATTTCAAGCTTATCTTAGAGCTGGAGTTCTTCTACTTGGGGATTAAAAAATGTTTTTAAAACATTAAACTAATATGACAAATATCTGCATGCCAATTTACATTCATGTGCTAAGCACTATATGTGTGTGTGTATGTGTGTATATGGAGTCCTGGTGTGGCACTGTAGGATAAGCACTGGACTGCAAGGTCAGTTTGAACCTCAAGGTTGATGGTTCAAACTCATCAGCTACTCCATAGAAACCCTATACAGGGTCACTGTGAATGGGAACCAGCTTAACACCACTTAACAGCAACATCTCTGTATATACGAATGTAGGTCAGAAAATTATGTAAGTTTAATGAAGTATTAAGTTGTAATTTATCTTAAAGACCAAAGAAGAATTGATGTATTTGAATTATTGTATTGGTGAAGAATATAAATATTCCATGGACTGCCAGAAGAACAAACAAATCCGTCTTAGAAGTACAGGCAGAATATTCCTTAGAAGTGAGGATGGTGAGATTTTCTCTCATTTACTTTGGACATGTAATCAGCCTGTGGGGAAAAACATGATGCTTGGGCTTGGTAGAGGGTCAACAAAAAGAAGAAGACCTTCAAGGAGATGGTTTACAGTCTCTGCAACAATGGACTCAAATTTAGTAACCATGCAGAATGGCGCAGTGTTTCATTCTGTCATATTTAGGGTTTGCTGTGAGTCAGAACTGTCTTAACAACACCTGCCGCTGTAGGATTAACACTGAACTGTGAAACAGAAGATCAGCAGTTGAAACCCTCCAACTGCTTCTCAGAAACCCTATACAGGGTCACTATGAGTCGGAACTGACTTGATGGCACCTAACAACAGCAAAGTTATAATTTATGGGAATAACATAGACATGACCATGTGTTTTGGATGAGAGACAAGGAAACGTTTCTAAGAGAGACAATCAGAGAGTTGGGAAAGAAAGAGCTTAGTGTGACTGGTTTGGTGGAATACTTTGCTTACAAAGTAGGGAAATGGACTGAAAGCAAAGGCAGATTTCTGCTTAAGACACCAGCTGGTAATGATAAGGGAAATCTGGTCTTATTCATGCCATCATATATTAGAGTGTTTAAAAAATGTGGCTCATCTAAGTATAGTGTGTTATGATTATGTGTTTGCCTTCCTCTTTATGATGTATCTCAAGACTACTTTCCAAAAGAGAACTGCATTTTGGATGAATCCTATGTCTCTTTAATACAAGGTTGCTCGAAAGACGACCTGAAATTGTTTTGACCTTATTTCCGGGGCAAACAAGGCTTATCCTCCTGCATTGAGGAAAACAAGTTTCAAGACAGAAAAATGAAAGAGAACACTTCATTGTCTTTTGTCGTATTCAGTGCAGGCTATTCTGAGAGGCACCTGCAAAACAGATGTTTCAAGCAGGAAGCGTTGTTTTTCTTAGAGCCAGTGTGACATAAAATGTGTGCATTTTCTCTTAAATCTTTAATATTTGTATTTTCTGTCATCTATTGTTTCATGTTATGAATGTGGTGGTGGTGGTGGTTATGTGCTGTGGAGTAGGTTCCGACTCATAGCGACCCTGCACAGGGTTTCCAAGGCTGTAAATCTTTACAGGAGCAGAAAGTCTCATCTTTCTCCTGTGGAACAGCTGATAGTTTCAAACTGCTGACCTTGAGGTTCTCAGCCAGATGTAATGAAATGAGAAGAAAATCTAATTTATGATCTCACCCGTTTTGAGATCTCATGAAGATAGATAAAAATATATTTGGACTAATTGAACCAATGATTTTAACTGATAAATAAAAAGTTCTGCTCAGGTTATGCCTATGAACATTTCTTTAAATAAATAAAAGGCAAATTTGTTTATTGTAGCATTAGTTTAATGTTTCAGTTTCTTAGACTTATTTCCAAACAACCTTAGCATCAAGATTGTTTAGTGTTAAATAGTGTTTACATCATGATTTGCAGAAATTTCAGTACCATTTTAAATAGATATATTTTGGGCAATGTAAAGATTTTGCAATAATAACAGATATTTTTAAAGACATCTGTTAACCTACAACATTGGTTCCAAATTAAAAAAAAAAAAAAAAAGACAAGAATTGGATTGGCAATCATTACAGTGTAAGGGGTATTAGGTAATTAAGACTTAAACTAAATTATAGGCTAACATTTCTTGATTACTATGATTCTTAAATATTTATTCAACTTGTGTTCTATTGAGCACAAGAATCCTCCAGGGCAGCGTTGAAGAAGATGTCTCAAGGGCCAAGGAGGTGATGAGTGGGGAAACCACCTTCTCCTCCAAGTATTGCCTGGGGCTGACTTTCTTAGGGTTTCTGCAGTACTACTCTGATCCCTAGGAGCTCTGGTAGCATAGTGGTTATGAGTCGGGCTGCTAATCTCAGGGTCAGCAGTTCAAAAGTACCAGCC